GGGTGCGCCCAGCCTACGTCAGGGCCCCTGCTGCTTGGAGCGCCGCCAGGCTGTTTGCCGATTGCGAGCCCTGCGTCGGTTGGCTGAAGTGCATCCCCACTCGCGCATTAATCTGCCCCCGCCCGAATCACGGCCCCTCACACACCGCCTCACGAGAGGGTGAAGGAGGCCTCCACCGCCTCACCTGTGCACGTAAACACTGTAAGTGCTGCCGCCCGCCCGCAGCTTTGTCACGTACCCCTTCGGCGCCGCGCTGGCGGCGTCGTCCGGCAACGCAAACGCCTCCTGCACCGAGCCGCCGCCGAGGTCGATCGCGGCCACGGTCGCCGCGTGGCCGCCGCCCAGCTTGCCCAGAAGATAGTTCAGGGTCAGCCACGCGTAAGCCCCTTCATGGGCGCCTGTGGACGGGAGATGCGAGGCAAGCGGTGACCGACGGACTCAAAGCATTAGACAGCTGCAGCTGGCAGGAGGCTATGTGCTGTGATGCTACAGCGTCCGAATGCAACGCATTCTGGCCCTGCTCATGCAGCTGAGGCGTCCTACAGGCCCCCGTCACCCGGCCCACCATCCATAATACCGACGGCGCCCTCGCCCAGCTTGAAGGGGTACTGCTGGAGGAAGGCCGTCACTGCCTGCGGTGTGCGCCGCCGCAACGGGTCCGACTCGGCGTTGGACGGCGCGCTGCATGCTGGTGCCTGAAGCTTGCCGCACCCACTGCTGACGCGCATTCGTGCGTGGGCAATCACTCACTTGATTGGCCCCCATGCAGCCTGCCAACGACCCCACAAGCAACCACTTAGTACTACACCCATCATAATCACCGTGCAACCGCCACTGAACAAGCCAGCTCTCAACCCCCTCACCCGAAGGATGTCGTCCGCCTTGCCGCCCGGCAGCAGCCGCAGCCCCGCTGTCGCCCTGAGGCTCACGCCCGTCCGCGCCTGCTGCCCCTTGGGCACCGCCCCCAGCGCAACCTCCAGCAGCGGCCGCAGGCTCTCGGCCGCCTTCTGGGGCTCGTCCCTGAAGGAGCTCAGCCCCGGCTTCAGCTGTTCAAACGTGTCGCTTATCAGCTTCAGCTCGCCGCCCGCCTTTTCGAACTTGAAGACGTGGATGCGGCTGCCCGTGCTGCCCGCGTCCAGCACGATGTTGTAGACAAAATCCCCTCCGACGGCGTCGCCGCCGCCGAGCTCGCTGCTGCCAGTGGTGGTCTTCGTGCCGCTGTCGCCAAGTTCGCCCGGCTGCGCCGCCGGCGGCGCCCGCGGGAAGGCTACCCCCATCACAAAGAGAATTAGCGCAAGCTGCAGTGGCGGGGAGGGGGTTGATTCTTGTTGAAGCTCGGCCGCCTGTTGGTGGCAACCGTTTGCGAGGCAGCGGGTGCAACGGCCTGCACACATGCTTGCCCGCCCCAACCGCGCAGCGACTGCGTCTCACCGGTAGTCCTATGCAGAGGGCAACGCCACGGTACCTGCAGAATCGCAGCGGCGGTGGCACGGATGATATCAATTGCAATTGTCAACGTGAGTGCAACCGCTGTCTCTCCTACTCTGCAGCGGTAATCGCCCGTCAACCTGCCAGGTGCCTCAATAGCAAGCGAACGCACCGCCACAGCTTATCAGACAGCTTGTCATGTCTCCGAAATACTCGCGGGTGCGAGAACGGCAGCTTGCTAAGTGGGGTGCGGCGCTGCGCCGCCGCGCTGGGTGAGCGTCCATCAACCGCCCGTGTGCTAGCTGGGAGGTGCATATCGCCGGTGCCTATGTTAATCTGCTGTTCCCCCATTCAAGTTTGCGCTGCGGCAATCATTTGAGGCTTCACGATGCCATGCACTGCAGGTGGCCGAGAACAGACTGCCGATCAGTGATGATGAAGCGAATGAGGAACGAAGTGGATGACGAAGGTGCTAAAAATTGATACAGAGACCGTATACGCCACATGGACTGGCGCTGGACCAGGTGTTCAGAGGGGCGAAGCGCAGCAGCAGCTGGCCACAGTCAAGAGATCTCGTTGCGCTTCTTTTTAGCGGTAGTGGGCACTCCATACAATTAAATGCACTCATTCCTGTGATTCTGATTGGCAAGGCACCCACATTCCATCAGATCGTCTACGTACGATTGTGTACTCATAGAGTCTGGCAGACCTGCTTGGGATCCAGGATGTTGAGCAGCACAAGCTTGATGCGGCATGGATGCTCGGCCACGTCGTCGCGGTCCGGTGCGCAAGGGCGATCATGGCTGGCAGCGCGCATGCGGGTCCCATTCCGTCCCGTTGCTGTCATTGTGGCCACGATTGCATGACATGGGGGCCATCCAGCAACCGCTGCATTGCGCGCCATGCACGCTGCATCACAGCGGCGACCCCGCCACCTGTGTTGTGCCTAGCAGGCCAGGCCTGCATGTGCGCGTGCCTGACGCAAACGCGCCCCCCACGCGCCCCACGGCGCACGCCATCCACCGCCGCAGCCGCCCCGAGCAGCGGCGGCTCCACGGCGCAGGCAGCCCGGCGCGGCGCGCGGACCTTGTGCCGCGTGTGGACGCGCCCCACTCCTGACCGCAACGAGGATTGGGTGAAGCCGTCCTACATCCCGCAGCCGCAGCAGCAGCCCGGCTTTGCGCCTCGGGAGGAGCCGCGGCCGCTGTACAGCCCGGCGCCAGAGTTCAGGCCAGCCGAGGCGCCGGACAAGCAGACGGAGATGCCAGAGGGGCCGAAGATGCCAGGTGCGCGAGCTGCGGCTGTGTTCGCGGTGGTTGACCGCCGTGAGCCTCCCGCACACTTTTGCATGCATGCATGCATGCATGCATGCTGAGCGAGCATGGATATTCACGAGTTGCCGTCTTGCGGCCTGCATGCTTCGCCTGTGCACGTGTCCAGCTAGGAAATTGCGCAGCATGGCAATGGTAATTGCGCGCATGTCTGTCTGACCATGCCTACCTTGGGTCCGCATCCGATGCCCTTCGCTCTGCTCCACAGAGCGGCGACCAGACCCCATCCCCGCGGGCAATCCCAAGGAGAAGCCCTCGGAGGGTGGTGGCGACCAGAAGCGAGAGGCGCCACCTGCGCCCTCTCCTGACAAGAAGTGATGTCAGCATGCAACTGCAGCAGCAGCCTGGCAGCCTGCCGGCAGCAGCAGCAGCAGCAGCAGCAGCAGCAGCAGGAGCAGCTCCAGCAGCAGCGTGGCACTTGCAGAGTCCCAGCCTCTACAGCGCGCCAGCAGATGTGTCCACTCTGTGACATGTATCGGCCAGGTCTGCTGGGTTCGCCCGCCTTGCGTTGGGGTTGATGCCCCTGTTTTGTTCAGGTTTTGGGTTGTCCTGCTTGCTTCGCGTTTCTACCTTGTCGTGTCCAGGAGGCTGTTGGAAGCTCTTAGTTTCCCTTCTCGCTGCATTTGCCACAAGCAGGCTGCCTCACACATACTGTAAATTCATGTGTGCTGGCTGCGATGGGGGGGCCTTGCAGGTGGTACTGCCACATGCAGTGCTTTATGTCAGTGCAACCGCAACTGCCGACCCGTACACCAGTGATAGCCCTCCCTGCAGTTGACGACACTTTCCGACTTGTGCTCGCCAGCCATGGCCACCTCGTGGCCCTGGCAGCAAAAGCTATTGTTGCGAGTCAGGAAGGAACATGCAACCGGGGACTTAGCCTGTCACAAAGTCCTGGCCCCTGAGACCAGAGCGTGGAGCGGGGATACAGCAGGCAGCGGGTAGCAGGGAGGCGTGCCTTGCCTGAACCATACTGAACCAACCTTTTCCACGTCAAATCATCAGCCAAAGTGCATTGGGTGCCCATGCAACCTCCAAAATGCCTACAACCGCCCAGCTGGCATCCACCCATCGAGCCCTCAGTTGAGCAGCAGAGAGCGCAGCCTCAGGGATGCATGTGGCGGTCAAGTTGCGGTGCAGCAGGCTGATTGTTGAGAGAGGACGACAGCCATGCATGGCGAGGCGGGAGGCAGGCCATGTATCAGCACCGCAGCTGGCCGCTCAACACCAAGTGCCGCACAGCGCTCTGGATTACTCAGTGCTCAGTGGAAGATGGCAGTTCTGTCCGAGCCCAGCCGGAAGGATGGGGGCCGGGCGCGCCACGCCGCAGCCGGAGCCGCCCGCAGGGGCCGGGCGGGCCCGAAACGCGGGGCGTCTTATCTACTCTGTGCAAGCCTCCAACACTGGGCATAATTGAGTTGCCCGCAGTACTCAACAGACCTCTCGTGCCAAAAACCGTGCGATGCGGCATGTTGTGTGCGCAAGTGCGCATGCGGTGGGGCCACGCGGGCAAGCTGTTTGGGCGCCCGCGCGCTACACCGCCGGGCACTGCAAAATCGCCACGCTCACAATACACGGCAGCCGCGTTTGTGATAGGCGCGGCCGCCGCGTTTGTTGCGGGGTTCGCCTCGGAACCCCCAGCAGCGGAGCAAGCTGTGGTTGTGATGAAGAATGCTCGGCGCCGACCCGAGAGCCCGGGGCGTAAGGGGCACCTGGGACGGGCGGAGCTGTCGGCTTGGTGTGGCAAAGATGGGTGTTGTGGGGACAGGGGAGGACTCAGGGCGGCCCACCCAGGACAGAGGCCGCATCAGGCGGGAAAGGCAGGCGGGCCTCTGGATGTGTCATCGTAATGAGTCATCCTTGGCAACATCAGGGCGTCTCCCAGGCAAAAACGGGGAAAAAGCAGGTGGTGCCGCGCCAAAATGCACAGCTACCCCTGGGGCGAGTGCATCTATATGCTGCTGTCCCGCGCGCCCGTGCGCCGCAGCCACCCAATGCCGGCGCCGATGCCCCGTCCCCATCCCCCGGCGCCAACGCGCCCGTGGGGGAAACCGTGGAGGTGGCCGCAAGCACGCGCGTTCCCTTGACTCGTCGCTGCGGCACTTGCAACCTATCCAGTCATGCACGCATGGCCTGCTTTGGGCGGGTTTCCGACATGCTGCCAGCCATCCGCACGCCCGCATGCCAAGTGAAAAGGGGGGGCTGCTGCACGGCAACTTGCGTGTGACGTCTGCCTCCATAGCCTCGCGCCACGCGGCGGAGATCCTCCAGTCTTTGCCTTCTGCTGCCCTGCCAACCAGATCGCAAGATCACCAGCTCACGAGGACCCGAAGCCCTTGGAGCCGTTCGAGGCCTTGCGGCCGCGGCCAGAGCCGGCGCCGTTGGTCACAGGGACCTTGTCTGCGGCCGCCTCCTGCGCGTCCGCGCCCGCGCCCGCCGCCGCCTTGGCATCCTTGCTCGCCTTGCTCTCGCTGCGGCTGCGCGTGCCGGCGCGGCGCGCGGGCGCCTTGGGCGCCGCCTCGGCGGCCCCGTCGCCGTTGCTGGCCGCAGCCGCGGCCGGCGCGGGGGCGCCCGCCCGCTCGGCCGCGGCGTCGAGCTTGGCGCGCAGCTGCGTCACCTTCTGCTCCGCCGCCTCGCGGCCGGCGCGCTCGGCGTCCAGGTCGGCGCGCGCGCGCGCGGCGTTGGCCTTGGCCGTGTCCACCTCCTCGCGCACAAACTTGAGCTCCTGCTGGATCTGTGGGGGCGCGGCCGCGGGTTGGTTGGTTAGGCGTGCAGTGAGATCAGATAAGGTGGGATTTGGGTGTCAGCTTGCATGCACAGGGAGCAGGTCGCTCGGGGGAAGGACGGCGGAGGGGCTGAGGAACGGAGGGCGTCCGACCACCCCGGGCGCAAGCGGCGCCTGGAGCCGCAGCGGCGCGCAAGCTGTTGGCCGCAGAATGCGCGATCGCAAGGCGTGAGGGGCCCCTCGCCAAGCTGGGTGCCTGTGCTTTCGGCGCCGCACGCGCACGCAGCAGGGGCGCGGCCCACCCACCGAGTTCAGCTTCTTCTCGGCCTCCACCCTGGCCGCGGCCTCGTCCCCTGCGCGCCCCTGCGCCGCCTCCAGCTGCGCGCGCGCGGACGCCAGGTCAGCGCTGGCTGAGGCGAGCGCCGCCTCGACGCCCTCCTGCTTGGCGACCAGCTCCCTCTCAGCCGCGCGGCTTGCGGACTTGAGCGCCTTGAGCTCGCGGTCGGCCTCCGCCAGGCGCTGCGTGAGCGCGGCGTCCTCCGCCTTCTGGCGCTCGGCGCGCTCCGCATAGCGCTTCTGCTCGGCGGCGAGCTCGTCCGCGGTGGCGGCGGCGCGCTGCTCCGCCGCGGCCCTGTGGGGTGATGGAAAGCAGGGCGGTGGCGGTATGGAGTCAACAGGGTTTTGTTTGGCCGCCCAGTGGCGATGCACACACCTTGCTTGCATGTGTTTCACCAACGCAGCAACGCACTCATGCACAAGCACATGCTCACTCACATGCACATGACATGCGCATGCACATGCTCACTCGCACACGTGTGCATATGCTCTTTTGTATGCACAGATTCACACACACACACACACACACACACACACACACACACACACATAAACTCGTGCAGGCATGAAGACGTACATGTGCTCGCCTCGCACCCTTGCGCTCGCACAGCACATGCGCGCACACACGCACACGCACATTCTCACGTCCAACCACATGCACAAGCACACACGCATGCATGTCCATGACCCACTTGGCGGCCTCCAGCTCAGCCGCCTTCTTCTCAGCCTCAGCCAGCTGGGCGCTGTTGTCCGCGCTGCATTGCAGACAGCGTCAGCAGGGGGCAGTGTGAGGATGCAGTGCCTCAAATCGATTTGTGTGGCGGCTACAGTTGTCAGCGCACACGAGGAGCATGCAGCACAACCCTTGTTCAACACGCACGCACAAAGCGTGCCATCCATCAGGGCGCATCATCACAAGCATGAGGGGCCTTTTGTGGGCACACGGACAGATGGGCGTTCCAATTGCCAAAAAAACGCTGCACCCACCTGGCAGCAGCCTTGAGAGCCCTCAGCTCGCGGTCGGCCTCCGCCAGGCGCTGCGTGAGCGCGGCGTCCTCCGCCCTCTGGCGCTCGGCGCGCTCTGCGGAGCGCTTCTGCTCTGTGGCCAGCTTGTCCGCGGTCTCGCCCGCCAGCTGCTCCGCCGCAGCCCTATCAGTTGTTGGGGGTGGATGCCGCGGAAGGAGAAGTGAGCAGAGCCGCCCTGCAAAACCTGGCAGGTGCTGCAATGCAAATGCACGGACTCACACCCATTCGGGAGCGGGAGTGGGCGACTGCGAGTGTGGGCGTGGGTGTGAGCCCACACTCGCAGTCGCCCACTCCCGCTCCCGGTTGCACGTTCGCACGCATGTACGCTTGCGCACACCCTCTCTCACGCATGCACATGCACATGCACATGCACACGCACATGCTGCCGACACGCACACCCACTTGGCAGCCTCCAGCTCGGCCGCCCTCTTCTGCGCCTCGGCCAGCTCAGCGCTGTTGTCGACGCTGCGGTCGGAAGAGAGGGCCAGCAAGCGCCAGCAAAAGCAGAGCGTTGCAGGAGAAGGCCTTCAAACACGGTCAGGGCCCCTCCATACAGCTGCATGCTTTCAAGCTTTGTTTGAGGCCCGAGTGCCAGCACTGGCCCTGTGCCCACCTGGCTGCAGCCTTGAGAGCTCTCAGCTCGCGGTCGGCCTCCGCCAGGCGCTGCGTGAGCGCGGCGTCCTCCGCCCTCTGGCGCTCGGCGCGCTCGGCGTAGCGCCTCTGCTCGGCGGCGAGCTTGTCGGCGGTCTCGCCCGCAAGCTGCTGCGCGGCGGCCCTGCAGGATCGTTGTGTTGCAAGGCGGCGGTGCGCGCGCGGTCAAGGCCGTGCGTCGCGCACCCTTGACCTCACCACAAATGCCGCCATGCGGAGGGGTGTGGAGACTGTCGAGCTGTGTTCCTGCCGCGCCGCCCCTTGAGCCGCAATCGAAAGTGACTGCACACCGACCCAGCCATACACACACACGCTCTCTCTGTCTCTCACCAACCCACCCACCTGCCCCCCCCTCCCCACACGCGCGCGGCATACGCACACGCACACGCACACGCACACGCACATGCACACGCACACACACACACACACACACACACACACACAAACACACAAACACACAAACATGCACGCGCGCGCACGCAAAGATACACCAAACGCACTTGGCGGCCTCCAGCTCAGCGACCTTCTTCTCAGCCTCCTCCAGCTCGGCGCTGTAGTTTGACCTACTCGATCGCGGGGGCACAACGCGCGGTACCATGAGCCACTGCAGCACGCTTTAGTTGCGCCGGCCGCTGCTGTTGCGCTTTGAGCAAGAAGCGCAGCCCTGCGCGCACAGCGGCCTCTGGCCAGGCCCAGCCGCCAGTCGCGCCCGCTGCTGCGCGGCTGCCGGCGACCCACGCCCGGCCCCAGGCCCGTTGCGCACTTCAGCTTGGCGAGCTCCTTGTTAAGTGCGCTGTTGGTGTCGTTGAGGTTGCTGATGCGCCTCTCCGCCTCCGCGACGCTCTTCTTGAGCGCCATGGCGCGGCCCTGCTCCGCCTCAATCAGGTCACCCGCGGCAATGTACTCGGCTGGGCGGGGCGCAGTGGGTGGGGGGGGGGGGGTGTTCGCGCTTGAGCTTGGCAGTGGCATCAACGCTCCGGATGGCTGGGCCGTGCCAACGGGACGCGGCGGGGCGCGCTGGCGGCCGCCTCGTCGCCCGCATGCACCCGCGCGTGCGCGTATGCAAGTGGCAGCCGCTGTGTTTGTGGAGGTCGCTGGGAAAGTGAGCCCTGGCTGTCTGCTTTCATGACTCAACAACGCCCTACGCAATGCGCAGCGCGCGCACTCTTGATGTTCTCGAGCTCGGCCCTGAGCTCCGCCGCCGCCTCGCTCTCCGCCTCGAGCCCCTTCTGCGCCGCCTCCAGCGCCGCCTTGGCGCCTGCCAGGTCAGCAGCCAGCTGCTCGCTGCCGGCGAGCAGCTGCTTGTTATTGGTCTGCTCGTTCGCGAGCAGCTTCTCGGTGGCCTCCATCTGGAAGCGGTTCGACCGGCGCGCGTGTAGGAGTTGGGGGCCGGGGAGCGGTCCTTCCTGCCACGCGGCTCAGGCCAACAGAGTCAGCCATGGGGTGCAGCCTGGCGCAGCTCAAGCAGCGCGCATGCGCTGACGCGTGCTCGCATGCATGCGGCATGCGCATGCATGCGCCGTCCCGCACCCGCGCCCCCGCCCCGGCCCTTGTCGCACCTGCGCCGCCAGGTTGCGCATCTCGCGCCGCATGTTCTCCGCCGTGGCGCGCGCCTCCGACAGATCGTCCGCCAGCTTGCCCGCGCGCGCCTCGCTGGCGGACAGCGCCTCACGCGCCTCTGACAGGTCCTGGGACACCACAGACGCGACAGCCTGCTCCTTCTCCAGCGCCCTGCGGCGCGCGGCGCCGACAACCAGTCAGCAAAGGCACGAGTCCGCGCATGCACGCATGCCTTTGTGCATGTCCGCGAGGGCGCCGCCCCCGGCCCCGATTGCAGCTGCCGCGTCCGGGCTGCTGGCGCTCTGCGGGCCCACATGCGCCCATACCCAGACCTTGCGGCGAACGTCATGCATTAATCAACAATGCGGCCGGCCTGCCGGGCGCCGTGCCGCCAACCCCCGGCCCACCTGCTGAGAGCCTGGTACTCCTTCTCAGCAGACTCCCTGTAGGCGGCCGCCTCCTCCGCCTCGCGCGCCGCCTTGGCGGCGAGCTCCGCAGCCTTTGGGGCAGCAGGGCCGGAAGGAGGGGGAAGAGCAGGGCAAGGGGGGCGGCCGTTGAGCAACATGTCGGCTGCGTCGGGGAGTGCGTGCCTTTCCGCGCGTTTGAGGCGTGCGTCCGCAGCGTTGTGGCTGCAGAATTCCAGTGAGCGCGCTGCTCAGCCTGCCTTGCCTTTTCAGCAGCATCGTCAGCTCCCCACAGCGACGCGTGTGCGTACATCTGCAAACACTTGCAACCCCACCGCCGCCATGTGCGATCAGAGCAAATCTCATGCACTCTCATGCGCCAAAAACTCAGAATGCGCATGTGCACCGCCACTCGGCGCCCCCACCTGCTCCTTGAGCTTGCTCATGGCCTCCTTCATGCTCAGCCCCTCCGCCTGCTCCCGCGCCAGCGCCTCCGCCCGCCGCGCCCCCTCCGCCTCCGTCGCCGCCAGCTTCTCGGCAGCCGCCTCCAGCGCCGACTTGGTGCTATCCAGCTCCTCACCCAGCTCGACGCTCTGGCTCCTGCTCGCCTCCAGGCTCTCGCCGGCCTCCCTCAGCTGCCGCTGGATCTCCTTCGCCTCCGCCTGCGCCGCAAACCTGGCCGCGCGCTCCGCCTGCAGCAGCTCCGAGGCCGCCGTCGCCTCGGTCTTCATCGCGGCGACCAGCTTCTTCTCGGCTTCCAGGGCGGACCTCGTCAGCGTGGCGGCGCGCTGCGCGCTCTCCTTCTGCTCGCGCTCCAGGCGCACCAGCTCGACGCTGGTGAGCATGGTGCTCTTTTTTGGGGGGAGGGAGGGTGGGCGGCGGGACGGCGTCGACATGGGCGGGTCGCGCATGGGGGAGGGGGTGTGTGGGACGGTGGGTGCACACGACAGGGGCAGGAGAGACGGGCCCGTCGAACGGGCTCTGACTGCATGAGGGCAGGCGCATGCTGTTCATAGTGCTCTTCAACAGCAGCCACAATGCCGACACGCGCTTGCGTGCTCGGCTTTGGATGCACGTGCGCGCCGCGGCGCGAGCCTGCATGGTATGGCCCTCCCCAAGTGCCCACCCTGGCCTCCTGCTTCAGCTCCCCGACCAGCTTCTGCTCGGCTTCCAGCGCCGTCTGCACCGCGCTGGCCTGGTCCTGCAGAGCCTTGACTGCGTCGCGCTCAGCGGCCAGCTTGCTCTCCAGGGCGTCCTGCGAGATGGGGCGGAGGTGGGATTGGGGGGACGCGCGTTAGGGCAGGGTGCGGGTTGGGGGTGTGCATGTAATCATGGGTACGTACTGCTGGTGTGCATGATATGCGTTTAGGGTATGATGCATGCGTGTGCGCGTGTGTGTTTGAAAGAGAGGAAGAGACTCTGTGTGCAGGTGCGTTCCCGTGTTTGTACGCGTGCGTGCGCACGTATTGTCGTGACAAGGTGTTGTGTGTGCATATGCATGTGACATGTCGCGCGCGATGCTTTTTCGCCAGTGTCGCAGTGACCCCTATGCCCGATGGGCCACTGGTGGTGCGCGCAGCCCGTCCCCCGTGCAGCCGCGCAGCCGTGGGCCTGTACGCCGCGACGCCCCCCGCCAGCACGCACAAGGCAGGCAACGACCTGGGGCAGGGCGGGCCGGGTCCCTCACCTCGCTCTCCTTCTTCTGCTGCGCGATGTAGGCGGCCACGGCGCTGCCCACGGCCAGACCACCCAGCGCTACCCGCACCAAGTCCGAGCTGAGGCCCGACTTGGTCGCCACCACGGCCGCCGCGCTGCCGTCCTCGACCGCGACGGGGGCGGCAGGGGCGGCGGCAGCCGCAGTGGCGGCGGCCTGCGCGGCGGCCTGGGCGGCGGCGGCCTGGGCGGCGGCAACCTGGGCAGCGGCGGCCTCGGCGGCAGCGGCCTGGGCGGCGGCAGCCTCGGCGGCGGCGGCCTGGGCGGCGGCGGCCTCTGCGGCCT